TCTCTCTCTCTCTCTCTCTCTCTCTCTCTCTCTCTCTCTTGGTGACAAAATACACACATGTCGTGTCAAAATTTGGTCTCTCTATAGAAAGAGAGTTGGGAAGGGGTTTGTGCCCCACCTCCGGACGGTCTGGTTTGAGCTAGAATAGGCGACAGAAGCTTAAAGAAGAATGATTAAATACTAACAAACAGAGCAAACCACTAATATTTTTTCGCATTTACTTACTCATGTTCTCGTAGCCAATGACTGATGCAAATACAATAACCTGAAACTAAAAAAACCCCCGGACAAACAAGCAAACAAACAAACGCACAAATAAACAACAACAACAAACAAACAAGAAAAAACAACAACAAAAAGCAATCACTGTAAGTGTCACACAATCTTGAGATAGCCTAATTTTTGGTAATATTCTGTAACGTACACTTCTTCTTGATACTTATAGCGGGTGTATGATGAGTGCCCTCCTGTCACCTGCTTATGTAAATTCACTAGATTCTCACCTACTCGGGGCGAAATGTGGTTGTTTACTGTTATCCTTCTGACTCACGACACAACAACATAACAATTCATATTAGCAGTGAGGGAAAAGATCGACACCCTTCTCCCCCTCCCCCAAACCTGGTGAAATGTAGCTTCAGTAGTGTTGATTCAACATAAACTTTAACCCTAAAACGTAATAACAACCAACCACGTTTCCACACGTCTTACGGTATGTATTGTACTGAATCCTCTGGAAGTTACACCTCACCTTAACTTCTTTTTCTCCTCATTCACAGCTCTGCGGAAGCATTTCTGAGAACAAGTCGTGATCGCATCGGAGCAACTTACAAGAAAGCAATCTATGAAGAGTATACTGATAACACATTCACGCAGAAGAAAAAGAAACCCCCGAGCAGAGGTCTGGTGGGACCTCTCCTCAGAGCGGAAATCGGGGACACTGTGGAGATCACCTACTTCAACAACGCCTCCAGGGAGTACTCATTGCATCCCCATGGCTTGTTCTACTTAAAACAGCATGAAGGTTAGTTTTTTTTTGTCACATGAGAGATGGAGAGAGAGAGAGAGAGAAAGAGAGAGAGAGAGAGAGAAAGAAAGAGCAAGAGTGGGGGAAGGAAAGGGGTAGAAAGACAGTGAGAGCTTAGAGAAAGAAACAGAGAGAAAGAGATACTGAGAGAGAGAGAGAGAGAGAGAGAGAGAGAGAGAGAGAGAGAGAGAGAGAGAGAGAGAGATGTATTCAACACATTAACACTGTTGGCTTGACATAGTCAGGGAAAGGTATTTTCAAACCCATCTCTGCAACTCAGATGCTCGGAGAGTTATTCAAATCCCTTACAACAGTGATGCTCGAAGAATTACAACTGACATTGGGGGACTTGTTTTCTCTAGCTCACAGACTGACGTGCAATGACTTCCCATGTCTTTCAAATAACATTAGCTCTTAGGAGATAGACACCAAACTTTTAAGGTGATGAAACTCAATACATTTTGAATGCTGTCGTTTCAGGCGCCATATATCTGGACGGAACATCCGGCCGACGTAAATATGACGACATCGTTTTTCCTGGGGAGACCGTCAAACTAATCTGGAACGTGACCGAAAGCGACGCCCCAGGCCCGGACGACCCCAACTGCATACCCTGGGTGTACCACTCGCACCTCAACACAGTGAGAGACACGTCGGCCGGCATGATGGGTGTCATGATCACGTGCAGGCCGGGTGAGTTATAGGTCGTGGTCTTTTGTTTACGCGTTAATATAACAAAATTAATTACAGTGACAAACAGAGACGGATCGAATATGAATGTTGGTATCCTTCTTTGAACCGTGATAGAGGTAAGGACAGTTGTGCGTTTTTCAGAAGGACAGCTCTGTTTCTGAGTGGGCCTCATTATGACGCAAGTGAAGATGTCTGTTCATGCTTCTCCATTCGCTTGGTCCAATATCTCCTCCAGCAGACTGTTTTGGATTCTTTATAATGACCTTTATCTCCCACAGAAATTTTGAATAATCTTCTAAACATTATGTAGAGCAGAATCGTCTATCATAAAGCTCTCTCTGAAACATGAAATATGAAGTACTATGACTGAAAATCCGAAACTAAAAGGCATATTTTGGATCAATGGACGTCCGCCCAAATCTATTCAGTTGCCTTTAAAGTAGGGGGTTTCACGCTCGAACGGCGAGGCGCTTTTCCCTTTCGTCAACCCGCAGCCACCTCCGAATCGTCAGCCACCCCCAACCTTTGACACGGGTCAAACTTCCATCTATTTATAGGTAGTTAAATCTACCGGAACATGTATTAGGCGAAGTGATGTGCAATGATAGTCGCAATAGAGAGATTGTTTTGGTCTCTCTTTACTCATCTGCACCACACGAATTTAATTGATGTTTTCCCCTGGACTCTGCCTTTACTAAAGTCTCGAATCTAGATCTAGTTGTAATCTAATTGCAGGTTGCAGATTTGATAAATTGCCGACAGAGAGAGAGAGAGAGAGAGAGAGAGAGAGAGAGAGAGAGAGAGAGAGAGAAGGGGATGGAGTAGATCTTGCGAGAACTTTCGGGCAAAACAAAATGGTGACCCGCGTAGTTCGGTCGATTCGAAAAGTGAAAGAGCCATAGTATCTTTGTAGACGATCAAATTAGCTTACTTTTGTGCTATAACGTCATTTTTTTCTTTGCCTTTGTCAGTTTGATCATCCACACCGATAGAAAGTATTTCGAAATTAGGAAAAACAGGTCTTGTTTCACACTGGGTGAGAATAGCCAACGCTGGCAAGTCTCACCCGGGGTGAGAGGTCAATCGTAGGGTTTTTATTCTCACCCCGGGCGAGGATAGCAATAGCCACTTCCTTACTTAAATGATTAGGTGATTAAACTTGATCTCTTATTGACAATATAAAAGTCAATTTAAGCATCATTTCGTTAGAAAACAATGTGTTAGGTTTGCTAACTTCATAGACTTTGTGTTAAACAACACTTTTAACAAAACGAATCCTTACCTTACAAGCCTAGGCTTGGCCTTTGTAATCTCGAAGGTTTAGAAGTAGAAGTAGAAGAGTCTACTACTAGAGTCTAGTCCAATTTATTTAATCTCTGGAATGTACTGGATAACAACAGAAATCTGCAACCTGCCACTAGATTACAACTCTAGATCTAGATCTAGATTCGAGATTTTAGCAAAGGCAGAGTCCAGGGAAAAACTTCAAGAAATTCTCGTGGTGATGAGTAAAGAGAGACCAAAACAATCTCAATAAATAATATATCGCGACTATCACGGCACATCACTTCACCTATACATGTTCCGGTAACTACCTATAAATAGATGGAAGTTTGACCCGTGTCAAAGGTTGGGGGTGGCTGACGATTGGGAGGTGGCTGCGGGTTGACGAAAGGGAAAAGCGCAACGGCGAGTGGGGATTTCCGCTAAAAGAATCATCATCATCATTGCTTTTCTGGGGATTTCCGCTAAAAGAATCATCATCATCATTGCTTTTCTCAATCTGTACAAGGGTATAAGCCACGGACAAACACTTTCCACCTTTCTCTATCGCGGGCTAGCCTCTTGATGTTATTCCATGTCTTCCACTTTTCTGTACATCAATTTTTGTGATTCTTCTCAAGGTTCAACGCTTTCTTCCGATTGATCTCTTACCCTATGGACTCGAATCCAAGCTCTGAAAGAATCCCAGAGTGAAAAGATTTCATATCCGATTTGTACCTCTGTTATAATTTATCTCATGCCCATTCTCGACATTAAATTGTAGTAATCAAACAGCTACCGATTTTTCATTATGATATCTAAGCTTACAGTTGTGGAAACGTAAACTTTGTTCTCGATCTTCATTCATAATATTTATCAGTTAATTCTGATAGATGATGTTGCTAATAATTGTAACGAAATCTTCAGGTACACTTGATTCAAATGGCAAACGAAAGGATGTCGAGGTGGAATATCCGTTGCTGGTGAAAATCTGGGATGAGAACCTCAGCTGGTACATTGACGAGAATGCTGGCCGGTGCCTCTCTCCTTCCGCATGCCAGAAACTGAAAGAGGATGAAGACGAGGGGTTTATTGAGAGCAACTACATGGCAGCTATCAACGGCTTTATGTTCGGACATTTGCCCGACCTTTCGGTAAGAGGCGTTAGGTGCTGTCTTTTTGTTAGCCTGCACCCGTAGACTACCTTGCTGAAAATGTCATAATATCTTATTTAAGTACGCTTTTAACTTAAGTTTTACAGCTTGCCTTGACCCTATCACTAACATTGCTATCAAAATCAATTTGAAACCGGAACGAGAGAATTAGATGCCAGCAGGTAGAATTCATACACAACCGAGTTTGACTGCAAAGTGAGCAGGTGTAAAACCCAGCAGTAGCGATAACTATGTATACTAAATATTTTATATTATATAACATTGAGTTATTGCCCCTGCAAAAGGAAGTTCGTAAGCGTGAAGAGA